AAGTAGAGGATATATCAAGGCGATTCCGCTTGGAACGATTCAAATAACTCAATTTGAGCCTGTTTGTATTGATTTTGAGCTTGATTCAATAGTCGAGTCGAAATCAAATATTACGAGCAGTGAACCAATTTTGAGATAAACTAAGGTTATTTGAGCCGATATTAGCTCGGCTTGAAATCAAATTTTTTAACGAGTCTAGATACAAATCAACTTCTCTCTTCCCAATTCTTAAGTTATGTTAGTGATAACTTTCTATTTTTTGTTTGGTTTTTAAAACAAAGATAGAAAACACACCCGAAAATAGTGTTTGTTTATTCTTTTTTTATTTTTAATTTTGTTTTTAAAATACATGAGGCTTGTTTTCTAAACAGCAAAAACACATAAATTGTGTTTTCATTGTTTTTAAAACATGTTTTTCGAAGCATTATTTGTGGAGGCTTCGCTGCCTGCCTCCTGTCATAGCCCGCCGCTGCCCAACATTGTCATCTGCCACCTTCCGCGACTAACGCCCAAGGTTGACTGCCACCCACCCGCCTCCTTACCGTCTTATGCACAGGTAATGTTTCGTGCTAAATTGAGCAAGAAGGGCGTTGCATACGTCATGGGCGGTAAAACTTAATATTGGAGCACCACCTATACCCAATTATTTTATAAAAAGTATGTTTTTCCTTTAAAAAAGTGAAGAAAAACCCAAATAAGAAACAAAGCATATTGTATATTTTTTATGTTTAAAATTATATAAATCATAACAATATCAAACATGTTTTCTAAAAATAAAGAACAAAATAAAATCAAAATAAAAGATACTACAAAAAAATAGAAAATAACCCCAAACTCTTATTTCTTAGTTGGTGTTGATGCGTGTTAGAAAATTTGCAGCTGTAGAGTAATTGATTATCGTCTTAGCATTGCATGAGAATTCAACACACGCATGTAACATAAGTGAAGTAAGCAGAATGAGACACCTCAAGTTTTTACGTGGAAAACCCTTGAAAGAGGGAAAAATCATAGAGCCCAGCTCAGTTGAAATAATCCATTACAAATGATGAATACATAGATTTATTCTTCCCCAAAATTGGGAAAGAGATAATTACAAAGTTGTATAACTATAATTTGACTGCAGTTCTTGGTGATAGTAGGTTCTAAGGGTCATTGTTGATTGTTGTGGAGGTAGTAGTCCGTCGTGAATGTAGATGGTTGTTCCAGAAGCGTTGACTGACAAAAGAAACCATAATAAGCACTTACGGGAGTTGTAGACCACATAGGTCATAGTGATAAGTATGAATGACGTTCATAGGACGTCGAGGTCGAAGTCGGGATCTTCACGAGTTGTGAACTACGTAGGCCGAGGGGCGAATGTGAATGATATTCGTAGGCCACGAGGGCCGGGTCGGGAGTTGTATGAGTTGATGACCACGTAGGTCGTTTGGGCGAGTATGAATGACGTTCATACGTCACGGGGACCAGTCGGGAGCTATACAAGCTGAGAACCAAGTAGGACATAGGGGCGAGTATGAATGACAATCGAATGCTATGAAGACCGAAGTTGGGAGCTGCACGAGTTGATGACCACGAAGGCCGTTTGGGTGAGTACAGATGACGTCCATAGGTCGCGGGGGTCAGAGTCGGGAGCTGCACGAGCTATGAACCAGAAAGGTCGAGGGTCGAGTATGAATGACGTCTATAGGCCAGGGGGTCAGAGTCGGGAGTTGCATGAGTTGGGAACCGTTGTGAACCATATAGGTCGTTGTTGACACATGGACCGTAGTGATGAGCTCATGTCCCACGAAGATGACTAACGGCGTCTAGTTGGTGATGATCGGCGGTGACGATCGACAATGGTTGAGGTCGACGATGGTCGATGGCGATCGGTGGCGGTCGACAACGGTCAGGATCATGCTAGACTTCAGCTCATTCTCAAAGTTTCAAGTTCTCTCTGAAGCTTCAAGTCATTCCCTCATGTGAGGGGTGAGGCTCTATTTATAGTGTTCTGGGTGGCATTAATGCATGAATATGAATCGTTTTGATCGATCGGTCTAGAGAACTTCCTTCGATCAAACAATGTTTAATAAATATTTGAGTGTCTTAATGGTGTCAGAATTGTGCAGTATTGGGCTCGTTAGATTTGTTTTGTCGAAACCCTCGATTTGACTATAAACTTGTCAAATTTGACAATCATTTGACCTTCCAAATATGTCTGAAACTCGTCCAAAAATGATTTAATGATTTGATATGGGCTTGATTTGACTCAAATTGTAATGACTTTGATGTCATTAGGTTAGTCCCATCGAGCCGTTCAGTTTGACTATAAGTTTGTTGAAATTAGAGTTTTGGATAACCCTTAATTGATGTTTGAATGTTTATTGCTCGAGATATTATCTCGATATATGTGTCATACCCCGAGATTCATGATGGATGATGAAAATTTATTTGTGGCATATCAGTTGTCCTTCTATTTTTGGGCAAGAATATTTTTGTCGTCCAAAGATACTCATATCTGGAGCTATTTATTCTTTTCATTATACTATCCAATATATATATATATATATATATATATATATATATATATATATCATATTTTTTTATGGGAATATGGAAAAACTTTTTTCTTTCCTTTTTTCACTTTCATCTCATCTTCTTTTTTTAAGCTTGAAAACACTTTGCTTTTTTCTTAAATATAAAAAGGTTTTTTTTTTAATGAGCAGTTAATGTTGTACATCTTTTTAAATTTATATATTAATGTGCATTTAATGATCAATGCTCTTTTTGAACCTATAAATAAGCCTAAAAGAGAAAGGGGAAGAGTCGTGGCTAGCATTACAGTGGTGCGTCATGGTGACGAGTTGCAGCGAAACATTGCAGTGACGGGTTACGGCGGGACATTGCGGAGACATGACCCATTGAGGTGGTGCATCGTGGCGACGTATCACGACAATGCATTGCTGCGGGGAATCATGTTGGTGCGTCGCAGCGACGTGACGCGTTGCAGCTATGGGTTACGACGGTGCGTCGCGGCAATTCATTACTGCAGAGAGTCGTGGCGGTATGTTGTGGAGGGGCGTCGCGGCAACGGGACGCGTTGTAGTGATATGTCGAGGCGATGTGTTGCGGCGGTGCGTCGCGGCGATGCATTGGGGCAAAGCGTCGCAGCGACCCGACACATTGTGACAATGCATCACGACGATGCATCATGGCAACGCATTGCTGCAAAGAGTTGCAATGAAGAATTGCGGCGCAAAATTGTGGTGAAGAGTTGTAGGGAAGAGCTGCGACGAAGATGAAAGTCGTCCTCAACATGTGTAGCAGGCAAGCAACGTGATCTTCTTTCTCGTTGAGACGAAGAGGAAATTCGTCCCCGTCTTGCGTAGTAGGCGAGCAACGGGATATTATTTTCGTTGGTGTCGTGCATTATGCAGGAGACTCTTGTGTCGCTCTTGCACGTTCTAGAGGAGACGAAAAATTGTTGTAGCTTTCCTGTCGTGCTTTAAGGGAAAGATTTTTATCCTTATATGGTGGTGATATCTGGAGACCCCTTGACGATCATCAGAAGTACTGGAGTTTTGGGGATGTAATGTCGAGTCTACTCGAAGATGAGCGGATTTTGTGTAGCTTATGTACAAGTATATGTTCATCATTGTAGCTTTTTTTGATCATTTGATGTGACATTTGTAGACGATGATATTGTATTTCTTCCACGATTGTTGTGGCTTCTTAATTGTGCAAAATTATACAATTAAAGTTAGCACACAAATTTTTATAAAATGAAGAATCGCGAACCTTTTGTGGTTCATGAATTCCTAGATTGTGCCCTCTCAGACCTACGCCTTATAGGAGCTTGAACTGGTACCTTCTAAGGCATGTAGCCTTCTGAGGTTTATCGGTGAAGCCCACTTGGGCTCTTCTTCCAACAGCATTGTAGCTTCTTATCGAGTTTTGCCTTTTGGGCTTGACTTCCAAGAGCATAGTTGAAAGAAGAATATATTGAGGATGTAAGACCAGTTCTAAGTTGTATAACCGGAACTGTTCGATGGTATAAACCCGTAACAAAGTCATATGAAATCCACTGATGATTGTTAACCTATCTTTGGTTGTTGGTCGAAGTCTTTGCTTGAAGACCGTAACCTGTTATGAAAGATGTTGAAGGAAATCCATCAAAGATTTTTGACCTATTTGACGTTGTATGTCGAAGCTTATTCTTGACGCCTGTAACCTGTGATGGAAGAGATTGAATCAAGTCCCCCTTGGATCGATTAAACCTAGAATGAGGTGTTAAAGATGCTCTGTATTTCTCGAGACTAGAACGTATATCGCAATGGACCGTATGTTTTCTTAGAAATATGGTTGCAGTAATACTCAAGAAAAATGTTTGACAACTTATTAGTTGCTGCTTTTGAATCTTTTTCCCCCACAACATTGGCGTTTTCCATGTGAGTTTGTAAAACAATCCATACACCAGGCTTTAAAGAGATCAGCTTCTTGATCAAGTGAAGGAAAACCCCGATATGATGAGGGGGCGCTGAGAAAGTGTTATTTGCGGTGAAGATTGCCCCCAGTACATGAGCAATTCTCGTAAAATTGTAATCTGAATGAAATATGGGATGACTTCCACACCACAATTGTGCCCGGGATGTTAACATGAATAACATTTTGAGACTGCAGTGAATGTTCCCCCCCCCCCCCCCCAAGTCTAGAAGAAATTGTGAATTGATTTGCGTTTGAAGAAGAAGTGAGAAGACAACCCTACTAAAATAGTGCCCAAGAAGTTGATGTGAACAATCATTTGAGACTGCAGTGAAGGTTGCCCCCCACATAAAAAAAATGCATCGGAGATGTTCTTCATGATGTGAAGGAGGTTACTTCGTCATTTGGATGATGTACATCATTGAGAAGGAAAGTAGAGGCTTGATGTCTTAGAGTTGAAGACAATGTCAAACATGACTTCTCTTCCCACAAACGACGCCAAACTGATGCATGCTAGAAAATTCACGGCAGTAGAGTAATGAATTATTGTCATAGTGTTGCACAAGAACTCAACACACACATATAACAGAAAAGAAGTAAGCAGGATGAGACACCTCAACTTTTTACATGGAAAACCCTTGAAAATGAGAAAAACTAATGGGTCTAGCCCGGTTGAAATAATCCACTACGAATGATAAGTACATAGATTCATTCTTCCCCTAAATTAGAGAAGATAAAATTACAAAATTGTATAACTGCAGTTCTTAGTGATAGCATGTTGCAAGTGTCATTGTTGATTGTTGTGGAGGTAGTAGTCCATCGTGAGTATTGTGGATGGTTGCTCTAGAAGCATTGATTGGCAAAAAAACCGTATTAAGCTGCTAGAGGAGCTGTAGACCACATAGGCCGTAGTGGCGAGTATGAATGATGTTCGTAGGCTGTCGGGGCCAAAGTCGGGAGCTGCACGAGTTGTAAATCACGTAGGTCGTAGGGGCAAATAAGAATGATATCTGTAGGCCGCCAGGGTCGGAGTCGGGAACTGCATGAGCTGCTGACTATGCAAGTCGTTTGGTCGAGTACGAATGACGTCCATAGGTCCTGGGGACCAGAGTTAGGAGTTATATGAGCCGTGAACTAAGTAGGGCATATGGACGAGTATGAATGACGTTCGTAAGCCATGAAGGCCGGAGTTGGAATCTACATGAGTTGATGGCCACGCAGGTCATTTGGGCCAGTATGAATGACGTCCGTAGGCCTAAGGAGCCAAGGTTGGGAGTTGCACGAGCTATGAACCAGATGGTCTTAGGGGAAAGTATAAATGACGTTCATGGGCCGCGGAGGTCGGAGCCGGGAGCCGCACAAGCTGTAAACCACGTAAGACGTTGTTGACACATGAACAGTAGTGACGAGCTCATGTCCGACGACGATGACTAATGATGTCTAGTTGGTGGTGATCGACGATGATTGATGGTGATTGACGATGATGGTCGACAGTGGTTGAGGCTGACAATAGTCGAAGTGAGTTGACGACAGTCAGGATGGTGTTGGACTTCAGCTTCTTCTCAAAGCTTCATGTTCTCTCTGAAGCTTAAAGTTTCTCCCTCATGTGAGGGGTGGGGCTCTATATATAGTCTTCAGGGTGTCATTAATGCATGAATATGAATCGTGTTGATCGGTCGGTCCAGAGAGCTTCCTTCAATCAAACGACGTTTAATAGACATTTGAGTGCCTTAACAAGTCGGAATTGTGCAGTCTTAGGCTCGTTTGATTCTTCTTGTCGAGACACTCGATTTGACTATAAACTTGTCAAATTCAACAAACTTTTGATCTTTCAAATGTGTGTGAAACTCTGACAAATATGGTTTAATGACTTGATCTGAGCTTGATTTGATTCGAATTCGAATGACTTTGATGTTATCAGGTCCGTCTCATCGATCCGATCAGTTTGACTATAAGTTTGCTGAAATTGGAGCTTTGGATGACCCTTAATTGATTCTACTATCATGAATTTTCAAACACACATCAATATATATATATATATATATATATATTAAACATCATTTTCTTGTATTAAAAAAACAATATGTGTAGATTTTAATAGCAGTTTAATATTATTTTATTAGAACTTCTAAATTTGGGTATGTCTTGTGCCTTGGGGGAAAAAGTCACAAACTTTTATCTTTTTTTATTTTTTTTTCTTTAACCAGAGAGAGTTGTCAACTCCAGATGATAGTCTGATGCGTTCCAATTGGCCAAGCATATTGTTAAACTGAAAATAATTCAAGACCATTAATTGTCATAATTCAAGGGCATTAATTGCCCTGATATGGTGTAATTATCATTGATTCCATAGACTGATGTTTAGGCTTAATTTCTGCTATCAATTTACAGTTTTTCCTATTCTAAATCTTAGAATATTTGTATAAATACCACCCATCTTTGTACTAATGAGAATCAAGAAATACAAATATCTTCTTCAATTATTACATATGAATGAATCAAATGGGTTCAAATTATTTTCCTGTACACTATACGTTACTTTTAATAAATTTAGCACTTTTTTTCGTCTATTTTTAAAATTCGCATGTAAATATCAAAATTCTTAAAAAAACTCAATTAATAATTTTTATTTTTATCAAATTTGTGATAATTGATTTTGACACACATAAATACTAGGATTTAATAGTTGAAAGAATTATATTGATTTCAATTTTGTAAATAGCAATGCTTCAAGTGCTTTCTTAATTAACAAAAAAAAGATTATTTTTTTGAGTTTAAATCATTTTTCTCATGATCTAATTAATTTTTAAATTCAAATAAATTTTTTTATTTAAATCATTATTATAATGGCTGATATAATAAAAAAAGAGAGAGAGTATTTATTAATTAACTTATTTGTATTTAAGATTAAAATTTTAAAAAAATATATTAAAATATTATGATAAAAATTATCAGAATTGTCTCGAGCTATAAATCTCTCTTAAGATAAATGAAATAATAATAAATAATGTATTTCATTTAAAAAATAAATTTTAAAATTTTTAAACATCTTTTAATACAAAATTTTCATGCTGCTAAAACACAACTCAGGCGCATCGTTTGCTGCGCTGGTCCAGTTAGGCGCCGACGCCTCCACCACCGGCTCGGAAGTCGGAAAGCCTGAAAACCGCGTTACATGTTTAAATATCCACCACCCGCGAGACAGTTTACCAATTTTTTTTAATTTAATTAAGAAATCTTCCCACCCGTTTTCACGTGTCGTTTTTTTTTCACGTGCCATTTTTACATTTCATTTGCCCCGGAACCTAAATCGCATCGATTTCTTCCAAAATTTCCCCAAAATTGTAATTTTTTTTTTTGGGTGAAAAAAATGTCGATTTTACGATCCTGAATCGATCCGTGGGTAATATATATGGTTTCTTGTTTGATTAATCTAATGTGAGGTTATGGTTTTCCGTATTAGAAGAATGAGGGGAAAGGAGTAGACGAAAAGAAGTCGACAGCGGAGAGAGGAGAGAGACGTGAACAGGGAGACGAACGGCTTCATTATCTAATCGCAAGCGATTCCCTTCAGCTTCCCAATCTATTTCTTCCACCTCTAGCTCTGTATAAATGTTTCCTTGATTGTAGATGTAGGTAACCTTTTATCTTCACCTAAATCTGCGGGCTTACGGGCAACTGAACGGAATCATCCGAATCCGTGCGAATCCAGGGCTGTCATCTGTTTCCGGGGGGAATCCTGAAGGAAAGTTTCAATTTTTGACCGTTAATCCTCTGTTTGGGCTTTTACTTGATGCTCAGGTTGGGAAGTTAGAAAAAAAAGCGTTTCTGTTTTTCTTTTTTTTTTCGCTGCGGGGATCACAGGGACAGCTCGGGGTTATGATCGGTTGCCAAACGGTTGGGGGAGCATCAAGTGTTTTTGCAGACGCTAGGGTTCATTCCGATTCTGCAAAGGATTTGGGGTTTTGGGATGAGGAATGATGTGCAGAAGGTGCAAGGAGCTGTGCCGAGGAACGGTAGGGGAAATGGTTTGTTTTCCCTGCGGACGTATTTGAGAATTGTTTCGTCAGGAGCCTCCACTGTTGCGTCTACGGTTCGGTCCGCTGGGGCTTCGGTCGCGTCCTCCATTGCTGAGCGCTACGAAGAAGCCATCCGCGACCAGGTATGATCGAGATGGATGTTCCTTTTTTTGGCCTTTGTAGTTATTAAGCCTGCTTTTTTTTAAAAAAAAAGTATAATTTGGTATAGTCTGGTTATTTAAAAAAAAAAAGTATAATTTGGTATAGTCTGGTTATTTGCTGATTAATCATAGAGTAGAGAAGGAAATTTGTTTCATCTTCCGTGCTGAATGTGGGGCTTTGGCAGCGCGCAGTATTTAAGAAGCTGGTGCTGAGAATGAATGATTTTGTTTGAAGAAGTTGGTCCAGTTTATAGCAAAGAATTTTGATTGGGCTGCGTGTAATAAGTGCTTGGTTGGATTGTGACAAACTCAATTATATTGCATTTTTTTGACATAACACCCAGGTTGGATTGTGACAAACTCAATTATATTGCATTTTTTCGACATACCACCCAATTCTTATATATTTACATATCAAACTCCTAATTTTTTTTTTCCAAAATTGATACCATTAAAATCTTCTATATTACATAAAAAGTACCAAGCTTTTAACTTCTTAAAAGTGAAATACACATATTCATACATAGGTAAGGTGGCACGCGCACGTGCGCGTGGGCGCACGTGCCCACGCGCACGTGCCCACGCGCACGCGCAATGCTGTATGTAAATTTTTTTTTATTATTAACTTTGTGTTGATTTTTTAATCCCTTTTGCCATTTCACGCATTGTTATATTATTTGTCATGGTACAATGCAGGCATGTTTTTCATTGCGCATCTACATTGAACTATGATTGCTTTTTTGAAACATATTAATCGACATTTGAAATCCAGTGCTTGTTTAAAGTATCTTTAAGTCTACATCATCCTATCAAGTTTTTGATAACAACTGAAGTGAAAATTCTGATAATTCACTGATATCCTGAAAGGTGCAATGGGCTGGCTTTGACAAAGTGGAATGCATAGGTGGTGTTTTCCGGCAAGTACTTTTGCTTGCCTACCACCATGGTTTCCAGGTTTGGGATGTTGAAGAGGCAGATGATGTGCGGCAATTAGCTTCCAGACATGATGGACCTGTTTCATTTCTTCAAATCCAAAAGAAGCCTATCTCATCTAAAAAAACTGATGATAGTTTTGCTGATTTTCGTCCGTTGCTTGTCGTTGCTGGAGATATTTCAGTTGGCGGGGGGAACAATGTTGTCGGTGTGAACCCCTATCCAGGCAATGGTGGTGTTGACTCAGGCGGTGAAACCCAGTTACCTACGGTGGTGCGTTTCTATTCTATAAGGTCTCATGACTATGTCCATATTTTGAAGTTTAGAGCAGCTGTTTATTCAATCAGGTGCGGTCCTCGAGTTGTTGCTATTTCTCAAGCTTCACAGGTATTTTTTGTTTCATTTGATTTTATTAACACATTCAGGGACTGTTTGGTAATGAATGTAGTCACTTTAGTAAATCCTGTGAATATGGATTTAAAACAAAACTGAGAAGAAAATTAAGAAAAACCCGGATTTATGGAATCCAGGATTTAAATCCCATTTAGGTCTGTTACCAGACAGGCCCTTAATTTGGTAAATTGTAATTCTAAATTAAAAATTTATGACTTCCAGATCCATTGTTTCAATGCTGCCACTCTAGAGAAAGAATACACCATTCTTACTCATCCTGTAGCTTTCGGCTATCTCGGTTCAGGTTCTTTAGGGTACGGACCACTTGCTGTTGGCCCCAGATGGTTGGCATATAGCGGAGCTCCTGTTATAGTTCCCGATACTAACCGTGTTAGGGCCGAGTATTTGGCTCCTTCAGGATTGTCTTCATCTCCCAATGGAAGTATGGTGGCAAATTTTGCAAAAAAATCCAGCCAGCAACTTGCTGCTGGTATTGTGACTCTTGGTGATATGGGATATAAGAAGCTAACAAAATATTATTCAGAACTTATGCCTGATGTAAATGGATCAATCAAGAGTGGAAACTCAAACTTTAAGGCTAATGGAGCTCTGAATGGAAACACTACAGACGTGGAGGATGCTGGAATGGTATGAACATCTTTGTTATCAACTTTTGTAACTTTGCTATTTAGTTTTATCGCATCTGAAATACTTGTTTATGCATGCAGGTCATAGTTCGTGATATTGTCTCCAAATCCATTATTGTGCAGATAAGGGCTCACAAAAGCCCCATCTCTGCTTTATGTTTTGATCCGAGTGGGATTTTATTAGTCACGGCATCAATTCACGGTCATAACATCAATATATTTCATATTTTGCCTCCTCTTTCATCAAGTTCATCAGTTTTTACTGGAGCAGGGAGCTCTGTTCATCTTTACAAGTTGCAACGAGGAATCACAAATGCGGTAGTTTTAGATTTTATGGTCTTTTTCTTGCTGATTTAATAATTTATGTTGTTTAATTATTTTGTCATTTGTGATCTCAGGTTATCCAAGACATAAGTTTTAGTGACGATAGCCAATGTGTCATGATCAGCTCCTCACGAGGAACCAGCCATTTATTCGCAATTTCTCCTTTCGAAGGAACCAATTTTCATAATGTGAATTGTTCGGATGGAAGTTATAGAACTGATATCAATCAGCCTCGAAGTTTAGATGTATCAAAACTTAATCATTCAAATTCTTTTTCTGGTCCCATTACATTATCTGTTGTGAGCAGAATAAAGAATGGGAATAATGGGTGGAAAGGTGCCGTTAGTGGTGTGGCGGCAACTGCCACTGGCAAGGTCAACCCTCTTTCCGGAGCTATTGCTTCAACATTCATAAATTGCAAGACTTGCAGCCTTTATGTTGATGCAAATTCGTTACGAAAAAAGAATTACTTACTGTTGTTCTCTCCTTCTGGATGCATTATTCAATATGTTTTGCATCAGTTAAATGGAGAAGATTGTAGTATTGATTCCTCTGGTTTGAGTTCTATCTCGCCTGGACTGTCACTTGAATCTGATTCAAGATATGTTGTAGAGCCAATACAGAAATGGGATATATGCCACAGAAGAAATCGAAGAGATAGGAATGATAATATGGATGCTTATGGTGAACAAGGAAATGGTGAAAATGCGAAATTGTTCCAGAAAGTATCGAAGAAGGTAAACAGTGTTTATCCAGCTGATTGTTCCAGTGCGAAGTTGAAGCTCAATGCCGAAGAAAATAATCATTTGTATATATCTGAGGTTGAGTTGCAGATGCATTCAGCTCAGATTCCTTTGTGGGCTAAACCTGGGGTAATTTTGCTGCAATTTTTTTCGTTTGGAGCTTTTACATAAATTGCATACAAATCTTTTGTATTTACGTAACTCACACCTAAACTTTCATATTTACCCACATATCACTCAAATTTTTAATATCACATAAAAGAATAGCGCTATTATCACTTTTTTAAAGTGAAATAAACCTTTTTTTAAGCACTAAAGTGCTATGTATGCAACAACAACAACAAAAACAACAAAGCCTTAATCCCACTACGTGGGGTCGGCTACATGAATCCTTTTTCTCCATTGCGTCCTATTTAGTGTCATATTTTCATTTAGTTCTAGTAAATTAAGATCATTTTTAATACAATAAGCCCAAGTCTTCCTAGGTCTACCTCTGCCTTTCTTAACACAAGTCAAATTTAAAGCATCTACTCTCCTAATCGGATCATCTAATGGTCGACGTTTAATATGACCAAACCATCTAAGACGACTTTCTCTAATTTTGTCTGTCACAGGAGCTACACCAACCCTATCACGAATATATTCATTCCGCATTTTGTCTCTAAGTGTAAAGCCACTCATCCACCTAATCATTCTCATCCCGGCAACACTTAACTTATTATTATGCTTCTCTTTTAAAGGCCAACATTCAGCGCCATAGAGCATTGCAGGTCTCACCACCATCTTATAAAATTTTCCTTTCAGTCTTAGCGGTACTTTTCTATCACACAAAAGGCCCGAAGCATTCCTCCACTTCAACCAACCAACTTGAATTCTACTATTAACATCCCCATCTATATCACCATCGCTTTGGACAACGGACCCAAGATATCTAAATCGTTCACACCTTTTAATAATTTGATCACCCAAAGTCACACTTCTGTCACTAGAGCTATTACTACTAAAATTACATTCCATGTATTCAGTTTTAGTTCTACTTAAACGAAGTACCGCTAAGACTAAAGTGCTATGTATGCACATATGAAAAATTAGATGTGAGATATAAATACATAAGAATTATGTGCTAGGTATGTAAATTTCTCTTTTTTTGCTTTGGTTGTAAATAATATTGTAGACATTAATATATGTTAGGTATATGGATGAATGATACATTTTGCCTGTTTTTTATTTTTTAAAATTCAGATAACATTTCAAGTGCTGATGGATGATACTGTGAAAATGGATCAAATTAGTTACTTGAGTGGTGAATTTGAGATAGAGAAATTGCAGTATCGAACGGTTGAATCCAGGTCGGAGGATCTGAAGCCGATTCTTGACTATGTTCATAGATCCAACTCCAGTCAATTAAGGTTCAAACTTTTACCTTTTTAAAAAATCCTCTACTACAAATTACTTGTGCTGGATTCTTTCAATTTCTCTTTTTAAAGTGTAACTTGAAGCTTTCATTACTATGTGAACTATAATAGATGAATTTTTTTCCCCAAAGTCTGATGGACATTGTGCTATCTTTCTATATGAGCCTGATTTACAATTTATGTTTATAACATATATATATGATTTTAAGCTCTGTTTGAGCCTAGAATAATAAATGCTTGTCTAATATTTCATTCATATGATATGATTATATGCCACAATTTTCATTATTTTTAGTAAGGAATTGATATTATTTGGTTATATATTTATATATTTTAATTATAACTATGATTTTCCTTCATTTTTTATATTTAGTATATACCCCACTTAAGGATTTTATTCATTTGATGCACAACCATAAAATGAGAAATTAAAGATGCATATGATAAGTACTTCATTGAGATCTTACTTTTTATTTAGCATTTTAGTAGTTATCAAACAATATTTTTTTGGACAATTAAAAAATCAAGATAATGTTCAATATTGTTTGATTAGAAGTTGAGTTTCTTCAATAGTGTTAAAGCATGCTGCCTCAATTAACTTTCATCAAACAATTATCAATCTAATGTGATATCTGGATTGGTCTCGGAGGAGAATAAGGAAATTAGTCTGCAATAATATAAAACTGTATGAACAACTTCATAAGTAAACTTTCTAATTTTGAATATATACATTAGATATTAAATCTAGAGCTTCTTGATATGCTTTCCATGCTAAAATAGATTTGAGCGTTATGATGGAATCTGTTTTTTTTTTTTTTAAATTAGGATGAATTTGTGTTGTCCTGATTTTCTTTATTAGCTTCAATCCATAGGATTTTATTTTCTTGCATGAATTTGTTTGCTCCGGCAATGTGTAATTTATGAACTTCGAAACCAACTAAATCACATAAAGTAGCGACTTTGTTTTAGAGAAAACATTTGAAAAAAATAGAATAATTATGAAATAAAAGTTTAATTTTTGTAATGTAATAATTATTCATGTATTTCTTAGATCATGATAGTGAGAAGGAATTCTAGCGAAGACAAACTATTGGTCAACAATAATTTAACATGTATTATTCCTATGTAATCTAGAATGCTTAATTAATTGGGAAACCTTGAAAGGAACAAAGATAAAGTAATGAAATCTAAACAAAACAATTGCATGTGCTTGTTTTAATTTTTATCCATACATCATTGTAGATCTTTCTTTAACTTGTCAAGAAGAAAAAAGAAAAAAAAAATGCATACAAAATAAAAATATAGTTAATCAAATTTAAGCAAAAGAAAAGTATAAAAAACTTGATCATGTCTTGAAGTCTGAATATTTAAAATAAAATTATTATGATCTCGGTATTTCAAATTTAGACGTGACCCATATTATTTAAAAAGGTCTTTTGAGGCATACTCCTCGCAAAAAATGCATCTAATTCTAAGTTCATTGTCACCAGGAAGATTAACATTTTATTTGTTCTTAATTTACCCCTCAACATTTGTGTGCCTCAATCTGTTTATGTAAAGAAATGCATTATATTATATTATATTATATATAATTATATTTGATTAATCTAATATGACATATAAAAAATTATAAAAGTAATCTAAGTGTGATTACTTAATCGTGTTATTAATTTGTTATTTTATTATAATTTTATTGGATGTAATGTTAATTTATATATGGAGCAAGAAAAAAAGTATATTGTTTAAAAAAGATTTGGAGGAAAATTAAATTATGATATATCAATCTAATACGACATATAAAAAATTATAAAAGTAATCTAAGTATGATTACTTGATTGTGTTATTAATTTGTTATTTTATTTTAATTTTATCGGATCTAATGTTAATTTATATATGGAGCAAGAAAAAAAGTATATTGATTAAAAAAATTATGATATATGATGATTTTGAAGAAGATGAAAGTGAGGACAAGGCTTCTTAGGATCTTGATCTTTGTAACATATTTAAATTTAAATGAGTGCTTACCGTGTTCTTTATTTCAAACTTTATATTATATCAATATTAAAATTTAGAATTATGATCCATCTTTCTTATAAGAAACTAAATAAAAAATCAATGTATCGAATAGTTTATGCTATATTTGTTAATTATTTTATTTTTTATGAGCTCTTTTTTTATATATATGCTGAGTCTTACATCTCAATTTGCATCAAGGCTTACGCTTCAAACTGCTAAGAAAAAAAATCTTATGTTTTTGATTTCACCTTTTTCAATATTTATGGTATGTTAACTTTTTTAACTGATATTTGGCGGTTGAAAACATTGTTTTTTGAAACAAATAAAGATCATTTGTTTAAATCATTAAATTTTAATTTCTAAAGAAAATACTATAAAAAACATGCAACTAGGCATACTTCTTTGAAACTTAAATGTTGAGTACGACCATAAGTTCTCCATAGAAATTAGGACAACGAATAATTTTATTTCACGAACACCAGCATGGTACAGATAAAGGATAAACACCCACAATTCGAGAGATAAGAGATCTCTCCCAACTCCTACAATTCGAGAGGTAGGAAATCTCTCCCAAACATTAACCGTAAGACTTAAGGCCCAATCTCATTCATAGGGTTGTTAACAATCCGATTTTGAGGCGAGCTGGGGTCGGCTTAAAAACGACATGAAAAAAAATTCGATCCAAAATTTTGGCTCGTAGCACGTCTCATTTATTTTGCTTTGATCTCTATCTAAGCCACAAAATTTTGGTTCGTAGCACGTCTCATTTATTTCGCTTTGATCTCTATCTAAGCCAAAATTCAAATCAATTTTCGAGCGATCAACAATCTTCGAGCTAAATTTGCTAAATTCATAACGATAAGATATTATAGATCTGATTTCGAGCTGAGCTGATGTTGGCTCAAAATCAGCTTAAAATAATTTGATTCAAAATTTTAGCTCGTGGTTCGACTCATTTATTTCAATCCGATCTCGATCATAGCCAAAATTCGAATCAGTCTTCGAGCGATTAGCGTTCTTCGAGTGTGTCCCTCTAACCTTAAACACATTGGACTTATTTATGTTAAACAATAATAAATGATAAAAGAGAAAATCGCTCTTAGGCGCACAAAATACAAAATTGCCCTTAGGCTAGGCACCGACGTAATAATACTCCTCTGCCAACAGACACATTTTCCTAATGGTGAAAAAAAATTTGATCAGATTATATTTAAGGCTTTGTTGTTGTTGTTGTATGATTCCCACATGGAATCATCATCTGACAATCTTTTCCATTTAATTAGAAACTCGTAGTAACCATCACCATCTTGAAATATTTTCTTGTGCGCATTCTTCGGCCGCATTCGAATCTGATGCCACCATCCGAGATCCTACGATTTGAGAGGTAGGAAATCTCTCCCAAATCCTAACCCTAAGACTCAAGACCTAATCTCTTGCATCCCCCTAAACTCTAAATATATTAGCTCTATTTATACTAAATAATACTGACAATCAACTAAATTACCTTTAGATGCATAAAAGAAAAAATTGCCCTTAGGTTAGGCACCTGCATAACAATACTCCTCTCCCAAAGGTTAACTTATCCTTAAAATGGAAAAAATTGTTGTTGGAATAGGTTATGTGGTTTCATCTTCTGACAATTCTTTCCATTAATCAAAAACTCATAGCGATCCTCATTGTTTCCAAATGTAGTCTTATGTGCATCCTTCAGTTACATATGAATTTGATGTTAAAGTCAATCTGAGAGAATATTGTCGTGCCAAACAACTCATCCAATAGCTTAGCGATCTCTGGAATCTCTGTCAATTCTGTATCATGTGTCTCTTCTATGATATGCAACTTGATCATGAATTTCAACCCTACGTTCTGAACCACCCTTATCATAGCCTTTAGTTTCACCAACATCTTGCATAAATTGGGATCACCGCGAAACACCAAGATCTGGTCTCCCACCTGAACACTACAATGTCCGAATTAGTACCTTACCTCCCTTCTCCACTTGTCTCGTTTGTATCATTACTTATGAACCGTCTTCTGTTTGGAAGGCTTCCACAACAATAGGCACTCTCGCAGTTGGATGCAGTTTTATGTCCGGGTTCCACCCACCCGGATTATAAACTCTCCCGCTCTTTTTCACTTGTCTCGTTCGCATCATTTACTTCTAAATCGTTTTCCGTTTGGAAGGTTTCCACAAAAATAGGCATTGGCACAATTGGATGCAGTCCTATGTCGGGGTCGCCAACCCTGATTCTTAGGATGAAATTCTTCGAAGAAATTTTTTTCCAGCCCTGAATCGCACATTGTTTTGATCTGTCTGTTGCCGCTTGTCCTATACCTCATGATGTCCTGCAATTGCTGCTACTGTTCTCGCTTGAATTTGTTCCCGATTCTTTCGTTTGATACCCGATCTTCTGGTGAGTCTAAAAGAAATTTTTTTCCAGCTCTGAATCGCACATCGTTTTGATCTGTCTGTTGCCGCTCGTCCTATACCTCATGATGTCCTGCAATTTCTTCTACTGTTGTCGCTTGAATTTGTTCCCGATTCTTTCGTTTGATACCCGATCTACTGGTGAGTCTAAAGCAGCGATGCTATCTTGATGTCGTGCGATTCATTTTGGTTGCTGCTGCCCATGTCCGTTCATAACACTTGCTTAGTTTCGTGGTGGACAGAAACGGTTTATATGACTCTTGTTGATCTTCATTTCTTCAAAAGCTATGAATCTCTAATCCAACGATCGTTCCATGGACAAAATACACTCATAAATTTCAAATTTGATGCGTCTTATCTATTTTTTTTTTTTCCTCCAAAGCTTCCACTTTCTTTGCAGCCACTATTCCCAGTAAAAATTTTTATCACAAAAGACGAAAATAATGTATGCTGAAATCTCTTTTTTTTTCCTCCAAAGCTTCCACTTTGCAGCCACTATTCCCAGTAAAAATTTTCATCACAAAAGACGAAAATAATGTATGCTGAAATCTCCGCCAATCGCCTCCAAGCTAATTTGAATCATGACTGCATCACAATATTAAGTGAATGTACGGCCCCAATCCCGTCATTTCCAGATAGGTTAAATCAAGCGAATGTTCACTCTGTACGTTGTGATCCCTTCACATGATCTCAATTTTGCTTCCTTGCAATCTCGATGCTGCGATTTGGCTTCCCTACGATTCGAGGTAGCTCGATCATGACTATAACACAACAAGCCTTACCTGTTATTCCATCTCTATCTAGTTAGCTCTATTGAGATCGTTTGAGCCATTGTAGGTTGCGATCCTTTCTCCTCCTAGCAAATGCGATCCAATCGGACTTCCCCAACTAGTGCGATTCGCAACTGTATTGTAGGTTGCAATCACCAAGGAACGCCTAGCGAGAGCTGTATGCCACAATCCTCTGCCGTTGCTTCCCAATTAGTTCAAATCGCGACTGTAACGCCATCGGTGTCGAAGGCTGCAGTAGTACACAATTTCACGGTTGAAATGAAATGCGTATCAATTGTTGTGTATATTATGAAATTAAACATATTCCGTTTGTTTTAGAAAAGAGTGCGAAGCCCTTCAACATCAATCATTGCTGAGAGGAATTATTGATGCGAAAGCTTAAGAATAATGTAAAACTATCTTCACCTTCTTCTATATAAAGCTCGAAATACCCTGCATTTTTTTGGGCACTTGGTCATTTAATGTGAAGGTTTCAACTGCCTGGTAAAGCCAGTGAATCAATAAATGAATAGATAAAATCTGTTGCATTTGATCATAAAGTGTAATATTAGTTTCCTTGAATGTTTTTCTTTTAATATGTTGACACTTATTATGATGATGCTTTTATTACCTGAACACCAAGTTAATTTTGACAAATGTTTTTCCTTTGTTTGAATTTGAGAAAAGTCGCACAATAGTTCTATGACTCCTTACAGGTGTTCATTTTTGTCATAAAGTCTATAAAGTGTCAAATTTGTCCCCAGACTATTGGCTGAAATAATCAACGCAGATGACTATTTTAGCCCCAATTTAAAGAGTCTGTGGATTAATTTGATACTTTTATAAACTCTTAAAACCATGATGGCCTCATCTAAACTGCAGAGGATTTTCTTGGCACTTGTTTGAATTTGGAAGTGGTCCAAAGATGTGATTTGTCTTTCTTTTATAGAACTAATGTCAACACCAACATAAACTCTTTGATGATGAAATCAACGTCCTTATCGTCTGAACATGGGATGCTTTCCCGCCGGAGCAGCTCGAGTTCTTTCGACCCTACACCTGATAGCCCGGTGCTATCGGAGTTATGTGATGGCAACGAAACCAATTACTTCGGCAGGTTTGCAAACTCAACGGACGCCCATGAGGCCTTTGTAAATACTCCAAATGAAAGGCCACACATCAGTCGCCAGCTCGAGCTTGTGAATGGTCCGGATGAGCTGGAGACGACATCCTTGCTTGACTTTGTAAATAGCAAAAAGAGCCCGAATAATTCCGAGGAGCTGAAAATAGAGGCTTTGCATGAATTTGTAAATAACAGTAAGACCGTGGAATTCGATAATCACATTGATGACCTTCATAGCGCAGTTTCTTAAGGTACGAACTGTTCAATTATGTCATTAAGATTTGTTAAAATTTTGGTTGATTTTTTGTCATAATTTTGGTTATCCACACCATTTGACAGATTGCAATAAGCTTAGGAGCTTTATGGTTTTTGATCTTCCTCAGCTGTGCAGCCAACCTATTCTTTGATTATATACCCGAAGGCATATTTGACATGTCCTGTGTGTAGCTACTTGTAGTGGTGGGGAATGTAAAGCAATGCGAGGTGGTTATAAATGTGAGGAGGGATGGAGGTTATCACTGTAATTTCACCCATGAAAGTGGATTCTATTTCGGGTATGTCTTTGTAAATAACAAATTTATCTCAATGTCTTCAATAAATTCAACTATAAGCTGTAAATAATGTTCATGATTTGCTATTTATTATCTTTGTTGTTAGTCATTTTTTCTGTTAACTGATTTTTAGATGCAATTTTACATGCCGCGGCCGACATTTTTTTTTGCATAGTTAACAATTTTTTTTGCACAAAATGTGAGGGCGATGTTCGATATATTAAACAAAGAATTTGAGGGGATGGAAATGCATAATATATTGAAGAAAGACGAAAGAATGTACAAAAGCTCTTAGGCGGTTTTGTTTAAAGTAACAGAAGAGAAAAGTTGCTGTTAAGGCAGTAGAAACCCAATACAAGTCTGAGCAATAATCTAATTTTCGAAGATCTTCACAACTTCCTTTGAATTGTCAAAACTCAAGTACATTGAGAATTTTGTTGCAAATTTCTTTCTATAAAAGTTCTTGTAATTCTCTCAGAGATTGGCAATGATGTTATTGACCTTATTACAATGGAGGCTTGAGCCTATTGATGTCAAAACGACTTGTTGTTCCCAAATAGTTTTGTGTTTGAGTCATTAAAAAACTCGTGTTCGATTCATTCTCTAACCAAACGAGCTGAACACGAACAATTTTTTGTGCTAGAAGATTAAAGATTTGTTTATATATCTATAAATATATAATTGATGAGCGGTACTTTTAAATAATTTAATTGTTTAGAAGATTAAAGATTTGTAATAAAATAAAATAATTAATTAAAAAATAGGGAAAATTTATATTAAATTATATTTAAATAATGTATTAATATAAATAAAAAGATTTAAATCTCGCCTCTAATCTTAATATCCTACAGCTATGTGATTGGTTGTTAAAACGGTTCTTTGTTCGTGAATGTTTGGCTTTCTAAGCAAATATGCCGAACAAGAACAATTTTTTTGTGTTCAAAATATAAATGAGCCAAACAGAAATATTGATAGTTTTTAACAAGCTGAACATGAGCTAAGCCTAGGCTCACTCATGTTTAGCTCGTTTACACCCTTCCTTAGAGTCTTCATCTTACGTTTACAAATGTATATCCGAGCAATGAATACATCATTAATGAATCCAGCCTTATCAGAATCAAATTTTGGAATTATATCAAAAGAAAGTGAGGCACCAAGTAGGTAGGAGATTTGGAGATTGAATATGGAGCCTAAAATGGAAGACCCTTTTATTTGGATGATTTGCATGCATGCCATTCAATTCCTATGTATTTACATATCTAACATCTAAATTTAGTATGCATACACCCCTTTTTGGATGTTCTTATTTTGCATACACCCCTTTTTGTATGTTCTTATTTTGCATTTAGAAACAAAAATCAATTGGCGTTTACAAATATTAAAAAAATTATTAGATCCTTTGAGAGTCTTAAAAGTAACTAATCATTAAAAATATTTTCTTTTAAATTTAAATATAAATATAATGAAAATATTTTATCATCATTCAAAATTGTTTTTTTCCCCCTCTGATTTTATATCTAGTGATGCCATATTATCCTTCTCATAGCCTTTAAAAAAATATTGATATATTAATATTCAGAATTTACAAGAGAAATATAATTTCTTCTTTTTTTTCGAGAGAATATTATATGTGTAATCTGTACGTGTTGATTAAAGAAGTACGCTTGAATACCGTTTGAGTACCCACGAGTATTCTCAGATTACCACCATTTATAAGGATAGTTCTTATCCGCATGTAATATTTTTTTCCCTTCTTTCTCTTCCAATTAAGCGTTGAAATAAGTTTGCTGATCAATCAAGCAACCAGTTCAAAATAGTCAAACTCTTAAATTTTATTCAAATAAAATTATGAGAACGGAACGAGTTGCTTAAGTTAATCTTACGCCTCGTTTAAGGCAGCTTATTTGGCGCAATGCGTTTTGAAAACTCACTCGGACCCATTTGGGTAAACCACGTTTTGAAAAAAAATTATATTTTTAAACAGCTAAAATCAACATTTTCACACAATTCATGACTAGAAGCGGTGACAACTTTCGAGCTGCGATCTGATTTTTTTTTTTTTAAAAAAAAAATGTAAATAGCCACCACAATTTATTAATAAGTATATTATTTTTCAACATCTTATAAATAACTTATTAATAAACTGCAATTGCCCCAAATAGACTCTTAATCTAATCTAAAGATTATAATAATCTTTTTTTCTTTTCATTAAAGATTATACCATGCTTGATTCCCACATTATAACCAGACAAAAAAGGCTCAGGTTTTCATTGACCAAACAATCCTTTGTATTATCAGCAAATAATTTTATGGGGCATTTACATACATGCCACCCAATTCCTATGTATTTACATATCTAATTTCTAAACTTGATTTTTATATTTATACCAACCAACTTATACTTATCACATTAAAAGTAACACCGTTTCAACTTTATAAAAATGAAATATATCTTTTCATGCATAGGTATAGTGACATGTCCTTAAAAATAGAAGTTTAGGTGTTATATGTGTAAATACATTGTATTTATGTGTGTAATGTATGCAAATGTTTCTAATTTGATTAAGAGGAAACGGAGCCCTACATAAGTGAGAAGATGGACAGATTACAATAGAATTTATAGGCATAATTAATAAATATTATGATAAGAAAATGATGTTCTGATTCTCAATTAATGCGACAAAAGCTGTAATAATAATTATTTTCTTGATTTTTCTTTTCCAAATTTAAAACGAATAACTAATTCCTAATATTATTTATTTATTTTTTTAAAAAAGGTATCTTTTTCTAATCTTATAATCGTTTAAGAAATTTATGTGATTGGGTTGGCTTGTTTAAATAAAGCAGGATAAAATGCTACATCATATGAATTTAATAAGGCAAGGTAGGCAGCCACACCGAAAGAGAGGAGTTCATAGGTTAAGAAACTTGAATGAACTTGACTTTTCTACCACTTTGACCAAGAAGCTTTTTGTTTAATTTAATATTATTCATGAAAAAAAGAAAAAAAAAAACCATATCCCTATGTAACCATCATAGCCTTTTTGAGAAATTGACGAAAGGAAAATGAAAGTTGAAAAGTCCTAATTTGACATTGATGACTTGGATTGATTTGGAGTGATGATTTATAAATTACATGAATATTTTACACATGGTTGATACAGCAACAATAGTGAGGGATCACGATTGATTTTAAGGTTCTTTTTACTCATGCCTCAAACATCATTCTTTGTTTTAAAATTGTTCCTCGTTGCTTTACTTTAGCCAAAATGAAGTGAATCCCTTCTAGCCTCCATCATTGATACCTGAAAGTTAAATCCAAAAAGCTGCCCATAACCAGGGCTTTCCAATTTACTCACCAGTTTTCCTAGATTCATCAATTTCTTTAGTTAACAAATACTCCTTAGCTTCACCTTTCTTATCACTACTTGGAGTCTCCCCGCTTTATCTTGATGTCTTCTTCGAAGTTCTCGATGATCTTCTCTATGTCGGTGGCAACATCAAAAAACTAAGATTTTTCAATGGCCTCTTATAGAGAACCTAGTCTCCTCGATGCCTTCTCTTAATAACTCAGCTATTCATGCATCCTTGTATAAAGAACTTATCATCTTTTTCACTAGAATGATCTCTATCTTCTCTAAAACCCCCACTGGCTCTAATTCCATGAGTAGGAAATCAGCCTCGTCATCTCATTCATCTTTTTTCTTTTCCCAAGCTTAGCATCATCCAATTTATCACAATATAAACCAAAAGTCTGACTTCCATTTCATGCCTTAATCCAAATGGCAGCTTTTTACTCATGGCTCATTAGGACCACTAAGCTTGAAAAAGTTTTTAGACATTAAAAATAGCAACGCATTACAACAAGAATGAGGTGGCGGACCGGCTGGTATCAATTAGCATTGGCATACTATCTTCATGTTGGCTTGGGGAAAGCTCTTTTTGAGAAATTTTGGTGCCTAGTTGCAATATCAATTTTGTACCTGCCTTTCTCAGCTAAGTCGAATTTGATCATTGGTGAGCTTAAAACAATGGATAAATATGTGAATGAGGAGATTTTTGCTTTGAAGGCTTGCAAGTTGTGTGAGTTTACATAGAAAATCGTAAGCATTTCTGTTTTTCAATCTCCTTTTCTTTCCTCCTTCCCATCTTCTCTTCTATCTTAATATTACACATTCTTTATTTAATCAACCTCTAATATTTTCTTTGGCCTTTAAAAGCTCCATTCTTTTAACATACCAATAAAGAACTTCCTTGCTATTTGATACAAAACTTATTAAGAAAACAAAAACCCTCAATTTAAGAAATTGATTTGAGATTATAGAAGTTAATCTGAAAGAACATTTTTGAAAAAAATAAGAGAATCAGTTAAGCTACCCAAGGAATGCAGGAATTAGAGGCTCCGGGAGCATAAAGGAGTAAGAACTAAGCATGACAACGACCGAAGCTATACTCGGTCTCTGTGCTGGGTCTTCTTGGATGCAAAGTAGCCCAATTTGTAGACACCTCAGAACTTGCTCTGGCTTATATCGATCTCCAAGGCTTTGATCCGCGGCATTCAGTGCTTGCCCTTCTTTCCAGTTTTTCCATACCTGCAACACAAATTAGATTGATTATTATTCTCTGTTAATCAACAAGGCTGCCACATAATTCCATAAAGAAAGATCCAAATGATATATTTATGCTTACAGAACTTAGTAGATTGACAGAATCCACTGATTCATCAAGGCAGATGTTCCTTTGCCCAGTGACAATTTCTAGTACCAACACCCCATAACTATACACATCTGATTTGTTGGAGAAGTACCCACGCAGTGCATATTCTGGTGCCATGTATCCACTACAAAAGAAAGAAAGCATAGATGCTTCTATCAAATCCATTTTTAAGTGATCTATTAAAAGAAGGATTTTGAGTTAAAATAGAATGTTTACAATGTGCCGGCGATTCTGCTTGTGTTTCTTTGCGCTTCATGTGTGCCAAAGAGTTTTGCCAGTCCAAAGTCAGAAATTTTAGGATTCATGTTGCTGTCTAGCAAGATGTTGCTCGCTTTCAAATCACAATGTACAACTCTAACACGTGAATCTTCATGGAGATAAAGAAGACCTTGAGCAATTCCTTCGATGATCTTATACCGTGTTCCCCAGTCTAATTGCATTTTACAAACCGGATCTGTTTGATTGGAATGATAGTTGTCAACATAATCACACTGTAGTATTAAGCAATAAAACAGTAGTGATTTCATCTCTAAATTTAGCAGGCCAGTATCAAATATGTTATTATCTTCAATTTTACGAATAAAATTTTACAAAGTTGATAGATGAAGATGAGAAGCATACCAAACAAGTGTTTGTCGAGGCTTGTATTAGGAAGAAATTCATAGACAAGTAGCTTCTCCTCCTTTTCCATACAACATCCAAGCAGACTCACCAGGTTTCTGTGCTGAAGCTTAGCCAGGAAAGCCACCTCGTTTTCCAGCTCCACCACACCCTGCCCCGAGGTTCTGGACAACCTCTTCACTGCTATTTCCCGTCCATCTTTCAGAATCCCCTGTTTCAAATTATTTGGCTCAGACAACCATGATGCAGAATCAAGTATAGCTTTCATTGTTTTCTCACCTTATAAACTGGCCCAAATCCGCCCTCTCCCAGCTTATATACCTCAGAAAAATTACTTGTCGCCGCATTGATGACACCAAAATTTAGCAGTAGTGCTTTCCCCCTCCCCATCTCCTTGTCATTCGCGCCAAGTTCTACAATTTAAAGCAACATCATTCATTTCGTCCACAGAAGAAAAAAAAAAGTTTACAGGATGAGATCTGGATTCAAATGAGAGAAATGGGGAAGAACTCTTACTGATCGACACTATCGATAACTTGGCCTTCCTCAGTAGAAGTATAATGATGACGAAGGAAGAGAACATCAATGCCACTCCTTCTAAGATAACAACAATAAGAAGCATATCTATTTTGCCATTTTCTGCTGCATCAAAAACAAAACTGTAACTTTCATAATTGCTGATGATCAATATGAATAGGATGTTAATTCAGAACATTCTCCTAGCTAAATTTAGTTCAAGACTCGAGACTAGACTCGCCTTGTCCACCGGTATCGCCACTACCATTTTCAACATCACCGCCAGCAGCATGCAGCTCCGGCGACGTTGTATTCTTGATGAAATGCTGATCAAAGAACATATAAACCTCAAACCTCAAAAGACAGCTTTCTTGATAATACCTTCCCCCTTCCATCCTGATCGGCAGCTTGGACACCCCAGATACCAAACACAAAAAGCAATTATCTATGGGCAAATTCCAAATGCACCACCCCATTCCATAAATCTTCTGCTTCTGTGCATCGCCGGCCTCCGCCACCCCCACCCCAAACTTATCCGTCGACATTGACGCCTCAAAAGCGATCCGCCCCATGAGCTCAACAACCCGCCGCCCGAAGTCGTCCGGATTCGACGATGTCACCGCACTAGCGGAAGACCCTACAACCCGCTCCAAAAAGAAAAATGGGTAGCTATTGTTGTTGTAGGAAAGGAGGCATAAATCCTGGTACAGGACGGCGGAGATGCTCTGTCCGCAGCCATCGGTGGAGCTCCCGCCAGCGGCGGCCAGCTTTGAAGAGGAATCAAGTAGACAATTTGCACATGTTAACTCGGAGGCGTCTGGACGGCACTGAGCAAAGCCAAAGATTCCAAAGCTGTACATGGTGGAGTACAGAGAGTGGGCTTCTGGGGCTGAGGCAGTGATATTTGCAAGGAGGAGGCGGAGATTATATTCGTAGGCGCTTGAAGAGTTGTAAAGCTTGGTGGAGCATTTCGAATAGATGGGTCCGTTCTGCGAAGCAATTCTGGGGGCCAAGAAGAGGATGATGAAGGAGATGGGAAGATACATGAGGGAGAGAAGAAGAAGAGAACGCAAAAAGGAGAAAAAGGAGGAATCTTAAAGCTTTAAGGGGAGCTCCCAAAACAAAAGTAACAAGACGGAGAACTCATTAGGTGCGATGAAATGAAACTATGACTGAATTGAGAATCGGTCAATAGCCGGTTCGAACTCTCATGCTGCCATACGCAACGATATAAGAAAACAAGAACTCCTAATTTTCCTATGATTTTGTATTTTTGATTAGTCTATTAAAAAATTTGTTGTGACTAATTTTTTTTTATAAATATATCATTATTATTATTTTGATGATTTTTAGGTACCAATCTGTTAAAAAACTAAATATAATATTTTAATCATTTAAATTTTAAATATAATAATATAGTGATCCAAAATTTTACTTGAAATCCTCACTAATGGTGAAGGAGAGTGACTAATGAAAAAAAATAAAATTAAAATGTTATATTTAAAGTTTGGATGATAAAAATGTTATTTAATATTTTAGAGGTTGGTAAGTAAAAATCCTATTGTTTTATTATTAATCAACAAAAATTTTAATTGATTCGCACAACTTTTTTTATGGTGAATGGAGGCGTAATAAATTGATTCCACATGCCAATACAACTCAAACTTGACTTGAAAAATCCAAGTTAGGGTAGACTCAAATATTTTTTAGAGTAAGGTTTGGGTTAGATCATTCAGTTATGGTTCCGGATGAACCCGAAGCCCAAACATGACTCTAATAAGCACGAAAGTTCGGGTCGGGTTTGGGTTAGCGAGGAGTTAAGCTCAGGTTTGGGTCAAGTTCAGGATCGGGTCTTAATTTTTAACCTCTTTATTTTTTTGATCTGGTTTAACCCTGTTCGGGTCGGGACATTTTCGGGTCAAATCCGAACACAACCAGCTAGCCCGAATTGACAACTCTAATGACAAAGGCCATACAAAGTGGAGAAATTTTAGAACAAAGTATTTCAATATTTAATATTTTTTATTTAAATTAAGAAAAATATATATATTAAAAAGAAAAAAAAATGAATGTGTACTTTCATTCAAAATATATTAATTAAATTAAAAAAAAAACTTTAAAAAAAAATTAGGCCTTCATTGTTTCCTCTAAAACTCCCAAATAATTAACAACAAAAATTGGACGACATGCACGAAGATAACTAAAATAAGTGCGGTCAATGGATTAACAATAAGTTTTAATAAAATAATCAAAATAATTTTATTTAAAAATAATTACCTATTCCGAAATTATTATTATTATTATTATGTCTATTCTAGCTCATGACTTCACGGTGAGATTACGGATATACACAACTGTTCTTCTCTTTACACAAATTTTAACAAAAATAAATAAATAAATAATGGAATTACTTAACTACTACTAAATTTTTAATGCTCGCATATTTAACATAAATTAATAATTTATTTACATTTAATTCAAAATTAAATATTTATAGCTTGATCCAATTCAATTTTTAAATTACTTTTCAGTAGGGCTGTCAAAACTGCTCGTTGTTCGCGAACAGCTCGTGCTCGGTTCGATAAGAAGCTCGTGTTCGGCTCGTTCGCTAAGTTAATGAGCCGAACACGAACAACACGAATAAATTTTTGTTCGTTCGTGTTCGGATCGTTTTGGCTCGAAATACTACTAATCAATTATCTATATATCTTAGTTATTTTAAAATATTGAATTGACTACAGGACTACAAAGATTCATAATCAATTAAAAGTATTAATAAAGAAAATATAATAAAAATTATTAAATTAGATTCAAATGATATTTTAAATCTTGCTCCAATCCTTAACATCTTAAGACTACGTGATTAGGGTTGTCAAAACGACTCTTTGTTCGTGAACGGCTCGTGTTCGGCTCGCTAAACAAACGGGCCGAACACGAACACACTTTTTGAGCTCGAAATATAAATGAGCCGAACATAAGCTAAGCCTGGGCTCCTACTTTTCAGCAAAACAAAAACTATCGCCCTCCTAATCTTCATTTGTATTTGCAGCCGCCACCGCTCTGACCTCATTTGTGGTATGCATGTAAATTATGAGAATATATATATATATATACGTAATAGGGATTCCTTGCACTTTTCATATATGATAGTTTAAAAATCAGACCAAATTAACAGACGAGAATTGAGGTTAGAGTATTGAATTGATAAGACCATCTAGAGTTTGGTTAAATAGTTTAATCTATTTCATGAACAAAATCAATATTTGATATTGCCATCTAGGGTTTGATTGAGCTGAATCATTAGGACACTTAGGTTAGCATATTCAACTTGGCTCAGTAGATCATCCTACAAACCCTTGAAATCATTCCAAATTAAAACCTAAAAAAGCTAAATTTAATTTTAAATTAAAGCTAAATCTAAATCAAATTCTAAACTGCACTACTTAAACATAACTAAATACAACATCACTTAAAAAATACTTAAAAATAAGCAACTATAATGTTTGCTTGACAACAGACAACCAAAACCTAAACACAAATATAACCAATTATAACACAACTAAAACCCAAATTTTTAATACATAACTAAAATCTAATATATAATGATCTAAAACTTAAAGTAAACACACAATCAAATATAAGCTTAACACACAACTTAAACAAAAATAAACTTAAAATTGAAACATTAATTAAAAAAAAAACTAAGCAAAATTTAAATTTAAAATAAACTAAAGCTAAACTAAATCTAAATTCAAAACTTAAAACTAATCTTAAAATAAAATCAAACGAAACTACACTAAAGTATAATTTAAAATTGAGCTTAAAACTCCAACTAAAACATAAATTTTAATTAAATCTAAAATTAACTAAATAATAAATAAATAAATATTCAAATTAAAATAAATTAAATACAACTTAAACTTAACATAAATTTAAAAATAAACATTAAACAAAACTTAATCTTATTTTAAAATTTCTCTTAGTTAGCCTAACCACCAATGCTCAGCATCACTATCAAGTAGAGAAATTGTTGGGTACCTTACAATTCCCTTAGTATTACATGCTGTCAAAAGACTTCTCAAGTATGGCGCCTAACTTCAACTACTTGAAGCTCCACTTCTTCTTTGAAATGAGATGGCATCAATATAAAAATAAATGCAAATATGTTTTTTTCCTCCTCTACTCTCAAAGATGACATTCTGTTCTGAGCATTATCCATTAAATGAGACACTAAACTAACAAATTGTGGCATGAAATCTTATATTATAGCTCACATTGTTCTATGTACCGTCTCAACATGATCGAAACTCTATCCATCTATCAAATCTTGATCTCGGGGATTCATTCTTTCATAATTCTCACAACTAATGACTTAATATTATACACACTAAAGAAGAATAAAAATAAAATAACCTTAAGATACTCAAATCTCTATCATTTATTTAATGATCATTTATATGATTGTACAAATCAATTTATCGAAAACTATTGTTCTAACATCAATAAAATAATCATGGAGACCCGACTCAACACAAATTGTCATATCAATGTGTGTCGTATCGTGTGAATGTCATAAAATCTTAAATTCTGGAGATTTATTTCAACAATGATTTTTTTTAAAAAAATTTTTAAAAACACAGCCACTAATATCATTAAAATATCATAAATTAGAAGCAGTCAACATCCATGTATATAATATCACTAATTATACAATCAAAAGAATGTATGCACGACAAATATGAAATAATTATTTTTTTAATAAAAGAAGGACATCATCATGATTATTAAAAGAATAGATCTAAAGTAACAACATACATAATGTTAGACTCTCAACTATATTCAATAGTCTCTACTCAAACGAGTCTTATTTTTCATGAAATAGCACTTGTAGATAAAACAAGGATAAGCAACGACAACTAAATAGATTACTCAAATTCAACCATAACTTTTAATACAAATGAGAAAAAAAAAAGATATTTACTAGAAAAACAACATATAAAGATAAAAATTTGCTTCAAATGAACCAAAAGAATATCTAAATATATTATGTGTTAAACTTATTAAGTATAGTGTCAATATGAGAACTAGTACCAACGATTAATATATATCAAATAACAATGTTAAGTATTTATTTTAACACACTGTTGACAATGAAATAACATAATATTAATTAACAAACTTGTTGTTAGTATGAAAGGATTAAGGTTGAAGGTCCACGCATTTCAACTTGGTGACAAACAACATGTATTATGTTGTTTCTTTCATATGGGTAGAAGAAATATGCCACCTATCCATGCAAGTTAAACTTTTAAACCTCTTGAGATACTAAATCTTTGTTTTACGAATATATATGAAAATTGTAGCAAATCAACGAAACATTTGTTGAAGTTGATAATATAAAAGTTGTAGAAAATTTACTAGCTTCTGTATCATATTTGAACACATTGTTTTTATTCACTTAACTAAATAGAAAAAATAATTTCCATGCATTTACTTTGACAACCAAACACTCCCTCAGCTAACCTCTATCATTTTCTTTGGCCTACAAAGCTCTATTCTTTTATCATACCAGTAAATAACTATCTTGGTAATTGATAAAATGGCAAGCTATCCATGGAATGCTGGAATTAGAGGGTCCGGGAGCAGAAAGGAGTGAGAACTGAGCATGACAACCACAGAAGCTATGCTCGGTCTCTGCGCTGGGTCTTCTTGTACGCAAAGTAGCCCAATTTGTAAACATCTTAGTACTTGCTCTGCCATGTATCGATCTCCAAGGCTTTGATCCGCAGCTTTCAGTGCCTGCCCTTCTTTCCAGTTTTGCCATACCTGTTAACACAAATTTGATTGAATCTCTGTTAATCAACAAGGCTGCTATATATAATTCCAAAAAAAAGGATCCACATGATGTATTTATGCTTACAAAGCTCAGTAGATTGACAGAATCCACCGACTCATCAAGACAAATGTTACTTTGCCCAGTGACAATCTCTAATACCAAAACACCATAACTATACACATCTGTTTTAGTGGAGAAGTGCCCACATAATGCATATTCTGGTGCCATGTATCCACTACAAAAGAAAGAAAACGAAGCTGATTCTATCAAATTGCATTTTTAAGTGAACTATTGATGGAAGGCTTTTGCGTTAAAATAGTATTCTTACTATGTGCCGGCCATTGGACTTGTGTTTGTGTGGGCTTCGTTGACGCCAAAGAGTTTTGCCAGTCCAAAGTCTGAAATTTTAGGGTTCATATTGCTGTCTAGCAAGATGTTGCTCGCCTTCAAATCACAATGTATTACTCGGACACGTGAATCTTCATGGAGATAAAGAAGACCTTGAGCAATTAGCAATTCCTTCGATGATTTCGATGATTTTATATCGTGCTCCCCAGTCTAATTGCATTTTACAAACCGGATCTATTTGATTGGAATGAAGGTTGTCAACATAATCAAAGTATCTTATCAAACATTAAAAAGGTAGTGATTTCATCTCTGAATTTAGCAGGCCAGTAGCAAAAACGCTAATATCTTCAAGTTAACTCAACGAATAAAAATTTACAAAGAGTTGATAGATGAAGAAGAGAAGCATACCAAACAAGTGTTTGTCAAGACTTGTATTAGGAAGAAATTCATAGACAAGTAGCTTCTCCTCCTTTTCCATACAACATCCAAGCAGACTCACCAGGTTTCTGTGCTGAAGCTTAGCCAGGAAAGCCACCTCGTTTTCCAGCTCCACCACACCCTGCCCCGAGGTTCTGGACAACCTCTTCACTGCTATTTCCCGTCCATCTTTCAGAATCCCCTGCTTCAAATTATTCGGCTCAGGCAATCATAATGCCGAATCAAGAATAGCTTTCACTGTTTTTTCTCACCTTATAAACTGGCCCAAATCCGCCCTCTCCGAGCTTATATACCTCAGAAAAATTACTTGTTGCCTCATTGATGACACCAAAATTTAGCAGTAGTGCTTTCTCCCTCCTCTCCTTTTCATTCGGGTCAAGTTCTACAATTTAAAGCAACATCATTTATTTCGTACACAAAAAAAATTAAGTTTACAGAATGTCATCTGGATTCAAATGAGAGGAATGAGAAAGAACTCTTACTGATCGACACTATCGACAACTTGGCCTTCCTCGGTAGAAGTATAACGATGACGAAGGAAGAGACCATCAATGCCACGCCTTCTAAGATGGCAACAATAAGAAGCATATCTGTTTTGACATTTTCTGCTGCAACAAAAACAAAACTGTAACTTTCATAATTGCTGATGAACAATATGAATAGAAAGTTAATTCAGAACATTGTCGTAGCTAAATTTAGTTCAAGATTTGAGACTACACTCGCCTTGTCCACCTGCACCGCCAGCAGCATCCAGCTCCAGCGACGTCGTATTCTCGAGGAAATGTTCATCGAAGAACAAATAAAGCTCAAACCTCAAAAGACAGCTGTAATGATAAAAACTCCCTCCTCTTAACGCGTACCGCAGCTGCGACACCCCATTTAACAAACAATCAAAGCAATTCTTACTCGTCAATTCCATAATGCACCACACCATTCCATAAATTTTCTGGTTCTGCACATAGCCGGCGTCCACCACCCCCACCGCGAACTTATCCGTCAACATCGTCGCCTCCCAAGCGATCCGCAACATGAGCTCCACAACCCGCCGCCCGAAGTCGTACGAATTCGATGATATCAAGGTACTAGAGACAGTCCCTAAGGTCAAATGGTCTGTCGAAAATGAGAAGCTGTTGTTTCTATAGCTAAGGAGGCATAAGTCCCGATAAATGACGGCGGAGAAGCTCTGCCTGCAGACATGGCTGGAAGATGAATCGTTGAGACAAAAAGCGCATGCAAGCTGAGTAATGTCTGGGCGGCACTGGGCGACGCCAGAGACTCCAATGGTGGACAGAGCGGAGTATAAATTTTGGGATTTTGAGGCAGAGGTAGTGAGATTTGTAAGGAGGAGGCGGAGATTAAATTCGTAGGAGCTTGAAGGGATATAATGATCTTGGGAGCATTTCCAGTAGATGGGTCCGTACTTCGAAACAATTGTGGTAGCGAAGAAGAGCATCAACACGAGAGGAAGATACATGACGGAGAAGAAAGAAGAGAAGAACACAAAAAGAAAAAAAATTGATGCTTGAAGCTCTGGAGGAGATCCCAACGGCAGGGTAACCAGATTAAAGAGAGAAAAAGACGAGCTTCAAAATTGGCAAATGGCTTGTTTAGAGCGCTCATTCGAAACAAAGGTAATTACATTGCTATGGTGACTTCATGTCTTTATCACTCAACTCCTGCGTTGTTTTTTACATTTGTAGTTCAGTTTTTTTTTGAATTTTCCATCTCTTAATCTTGCTATGTTTAGCAATATGAAATGCTAGTCCCAAAATTATTGGCTTCGTCTTCTCCTCTCAGTCATCTCAAAATTTGCTTATTTGTGTTTTAAGAATAAGAAGAAACCATCAAGAATGGAAATGTTGGATTATTGAACTGGTGTGCCATCCATTATTTGGTCAAACCGCTTGACACGCTTCAAGATCAAAATTGGAATTTTATATTACCATTTAATTTCTAAAAAGACAATTGCGAATCGTTTTTTATATAAATTATATAAATTTAAAGTTATTGAATAAAAAAAATAGACTTCTCACTGTTTAACTATTTTACTTGCAAATCCTTTAATTGACACTAATTTCTCTATTCCTTACCTTTCGACCATCAATTTCCTTTGAAATGAAGTATAAAGTTCTGTTTGGAGCAGCTGCAGCTGTTTGAAGAAGCAACTGTGAAACTGTTGAAGAAGAAGCCGTTGTTCAATAAATTACGGTGACTATTATAAAATTTATTTATTTTTCTTAAAAAAAACATGCCGCAACTTTAGAACTTAAGTAAAATGCAGTTTTGTCGAGAAGGAAAAATTGAAGTAAGGCATCACACCACTGTCCCAAACATACGCTTAGAGTTTCGATATACTATATACTTTTTTCACATTATGAGTATAAAGAAAAAAAATAATTATTTAGAGAAACATGTATTCATTTAAATTTAATTAAACTATATAAGATATTTTACTTGAAAGCTCTATAATTTATAAATTACTTTTTTTTGTTTTTGTTTTTTAGGGAATATTTACATACTTAGCACACAATTTTTATGTATTTACATGTCTCGTCTCACATCTAAACTTTTATATTCCCTATACTGATGCTTTATACTAATACATAAAAAGGTATATTTAGATTTTAAAAAGTGATAATAATGATATTTCCAATTTGATATTAAATATTTGAGTATGACGAGTGTAAACATGAAAGTTTATGTGTGAGATATATAAATACATTAGAATTTTGGGCTGTATGTAAATGCCTTTCATCTTTATCATATTGTTATATCATTATCATTAATTTAATTAATAATAAAATACTTGTATTCTTTATTATATCAACATATTTGATGAACTGTCAGGACCAAAAGCAAGATCACTATCAGATCATTTTTTTTTTTTTTTTGAATATCCAACGTTAAAATAATAATATTAGCCATCAGAGTCAGTTTATTAATTGAATAATCAGTCAATACTCTCAGGCCAGACTTACATATTCATTACATATGTCAATTCCATTTTGCAGGTATATAAGATGAGCATATGAATAAGTTTTTATAATGAGCTATGTTTAAATTGGGCATTTTGAATGATTCTTAAGAAACAAGGGATCATTAAATATGTCGCAATCTTTGGACACTAATTTTTTCATACCCATCTAACATTGTATTTTCTACCTTCGTTGTAATGTAATTGTTACTCCAATCATTCCATTAATATAATTGAATAACAAAACTTCCTCAACTAGATATTGAGAAAATCTGACAGGTCAAAAATGACACACCAATGATTAAAATATGTAGCACGTGAGTCTGGAACACGCATCGGCTCAGTTATCTCGGAGTAGAGTCCAAAGACGATCGACGGACTACAAAAGATGATCGGCCAACAAGGGTTGACTGGTCAAAGATTCAGCCGATTGATAAGTAGCTTCATTTGGCCGACTACTTGAACCCGACGAGATGCCTCACACCGAACTACAGGTCGCAGGTGGTCCATCGACAGGAAGAGCAGAGCCTAAGACTTATTTATTTATTTATTCATTTACACTTGTATTTAATTTTTTTTTTTTACTTTTAGCAAATCCCCCTCTAGCGCTTCTATTAAGCTAGAGACAATCAGGTAATTGTACCTTTTGTATTCCCTTTGCGTATAAAGAGGAGGTCATTTCTACAATAAATGACTTATGTCATTTGGTAAAAAGACTCAACATCATTCAACGGACTAAGATACTTTGTCTCTTTTATTAATGATTACTCCATGTATGTTTGAGTGTACACCATAAAACGCAAAATCGAAGTGTTGTAGATTTTGATAACTTGGAAGAAGTGGATTGAGACTCAAACTGATAAAAAGATCCGGTTGATCAGATCAGACAATGGGGGAGAATATAGTTCAGATGTGTTTTGCAAGAGTGCCAGAAAGCCGGGACAAAGCACTACTTCATTGTTTGAGAGACACCACAACAGAACGAGGTGGCAGAAAATATGAACCAAACTTTGGTGGAGAAAGTTCGGTGTATGTTATCCAATTATGGGTTGGATAGAATCTATCGGGTCGAGGCTATAGAATATGTCTGTCACTTCATGAACCGTCTGCCTTCTGCAGCTATTGAAAAGAATACCCCAAAGGTGATGTGGTCAGCACATCTTACTAGAGATTATGAGCACATGAGAGTGTTTGAGTGTCCAACTTACTACCATGTCAGAATGATAAACTGAAACCACGATCAAAGAGGACAATCTTCATTGGCTTTAGAAGCGGATTCAAGGGCTTCAAGTTGTATGATACGTCAGAAATGAAGATTGTCATTAGCAAAAATGTTACATTCGAAGAGGCAAGGTTGTTGAAAAATAGGGACTGAAAGCAGATGGAGATCTCTACTGGGACCCTGGATATGCAACAGAAGTTGGATTTTGATGCAACTCCATGTATTCCACAGAGTTCGTCCTCTCAGACTCAGATATTTGATTCAATTGCAATTCGTGAGATATTTATTAATATTTCTCAGGAGGAGGTGAAAGAAGATGTTGAGGATGAGATTCATGCTGAGGAACGAATGTCCCAAAACTTGCTTGGTTGAAGGATAACATTTCATTTGCACTTTCACCACACAGATAGAAATTCCTTATCACTACAAAGAAATAGTGGAGAGTGCAAACTGTGATCTTTGGAGAGTGGCAATAGATGAAGAGGCGAAGTCGCTTTGAAAGAACATTACTTGAAGGTTAGTGAAGCTTGCTCGAAGAAAGAAAGTCGTCGGGTGCAAATAGGTGTATGCAAAGAAGAAATTATCTCATGGAGTTGATGTACGGTACAAGGCGAAGTTAGAAGCAAAAGGCTTTGCACAAACAAAAGGGATTGATTATGACGAAAAGCTCTCTTTAGTGGTTAAACATCACTCAATCATTGTTTTCTTAGCACTTGTAGCACAATATGGTCTAATTTTGGAACAGTTCAATGTAAAGACTACATTCCTATATGAAGAATCACAAGAGGAGATCTATATGTTGTAGTCGCCTGGATATTGAGCATCAAACAACTTTGTTTGCAAACTGGACAAGTTGTTATATAGATTGAAGCAGTCACCATGACAGTGGTATAAAAAAATTGATCAGTTCATGAGGGGACAAGAGACACAAGGAGCAAGTATAATCATTGTGCATATTTCAAGATGTTGGCCAACAGTGAATTCATTTATTTGCTTATATAAGTTGATGATATTTTTATTGTATCTACCAATTAGATTGAGGTTGATAATATGAAAAATTAACTATCCAAACATTTTGAAATGAAGGAGTTGGGTGAAGCTCGCAAAATTATTGGCATGAAGATTCATAGGGAGAAGACAACAGTAAATGTTTAGTTTTCACAAGAAGTTTATGTTCGGAAGTTGTTGAAGATATTTAGGGTTGATGACTGGAGCAATGTGGCGAGTCATCAAGTCTAATTCTTGGATAAATTTGGATTCAAAACAAACTATGAAGTCTCTATGACATAATAATTTGTTAATCAAAATATTATTTTGTGCTTCACAATGATGAAATGAGCTCATAACCGGATCAATTTCTATAATTTTTTTGGAGTAATCTCTGAATAGTACTGAAGGCTGTTTGTAATTAGACAACTTTCTTCTCCAAGCTACAGATAGAAAATTTGAAGCTTTATATAAACTCAAACAACATATCAAATTAAGAATAATTACGTAAATAGAAACTTTTGAAAATTTGCTCAGTGAAATTTTCACTTTTCTTTTCAAAAATTATGCGAACTGGAAATGAAGAGGTTGTACTCATATAAAAAGACCGTGCAATGATATAGGTGGGCTTCATCATACTTAGCCCAATAAGTAGATTTCTACCCAAAATTCCAGTACAATTAATGTTTGTGGTTATTGGGCTCGCTAATGTTGAAAATGGGAACATAGTTTTGATGGTTTGGATCAAATTTGTCAAACTTGCAAGAGTTTAAGAGATGGATGTGTCGTGCAACGTGTCAAATATATATTGTACATACAATTTGAATACATCCGGACTTTATCATATTCATATTCTCATAGATATCTATATTAATTAGTCCAATGTTTATTTTTATTTTCTTACCATGAGAAATAGTAATTACCGTTGGATCTTAATTTATTCGTACATAATCATAATCATATTGACAAAAGTAACTAAGAATCATGAGAGAGGAAATCGTATGTGACTAAATAGAGAGAGCTCTAGGATTATTTATTGCATTGCCTTTTGATGTTGGACTTTTAGCTTATGCTGATAAAGCTTTGTACTTCTGCTTATGGGTCGTTGGTTTTTCGTCTGTGGATCTTTTGTGGTATGCCTACAGACTTTCCTTACACGTACTCCTTTATATATTTTGTCTGTTAGATTTTCTCTAGTTTCATGCAGACGCTTATCTGATGTACATCATGAATGCATAAATATTCATAAATCGAATATCTATTTACCTCTATCTCTATCAAAATTATTCAATTAAGGAAATATCCATTCAAGTTTCAACACAATAAACCAGATTCATGCTATTATTATTTTCAATATAACTAATGCATATATTGCAATAACTTCATATAATTTATTATGTCCATTCAAATACTTGCCAATATTGATCTGATAAATTTCTCTCTTAGTTTTGTGTGCATTCAAATCAAATAAAACTCCAACCTGAGCTCCGGTTCACTTGCATTAAATTCTGTTGCGGCACATGCAAATATATGAGTGTATTAAATTTTTTTAATATAAAATAACAGACATGTAAATAAATAATAATAATAATAATATGCTACTTAGAAAATAATAATAATAATTCTTTCAATCATTCGTCAGAAACCTTAACATCTTTTTATCTCTGAAAGGAAACTGATGTCTCTCCTTTCTTAAAAAAGATGATTCATAGCACTTCTCTTAATTAAAACATAATTAAGCATCAAAATTCAAATTTTAATGCAAGTACTTCAATAAAAATCATTTTTTTATCACCTAAGAGCAATAACAATAATTAAAACAAAAATTGTAATAAAATAATATGATGCAAAAAAAATTAAACAATAAATGGGAAAAAAATGTGTTTTTTCAGTATGTTACTCTCTTCAAACACCAACCCTAGTCAATATCTCTCCACATGACAAACTCCATTCCACCATCCAAAATGATGGCACCTTCCCAACTCCCTCACCTCCTCAACTATCTTTCTCAACTGCGAAACACCTCTCAGGCAGCTCATGAATCTGGCAGCCTCTTCCTCCACATCACATCCTACATCCTCTGTTTCATTGCCGCCTCCATCTCGAGCGCCGGCGGAGTCGGCGGCGGCTCCCTCTACCTTCCCATCCTCAACCTCATCGCCGGCATGGACCTCAAGTCCGCCGCCGCTTTCTCCTCCTCCATGGTGACTGCGGGGTCCGTCTCAAGCGTCCTGTTCAATATCTTCTTCCTCAACAAAAATTCAAATTCCCCATCCATAATTGATTACCAAATTGCTCTCCTCTCGCAGCCATCAATGCTGCTTGGAGTTAGTATTGGTGTGGTCTGCAATGTCATGTTTCCGGAGTGGCTGATAACTGCTCTGTTCGCAATATTCCTTGCTTGCTCTACTTATAAGATTTGCAGAGCTGGGCGCAAGTGTTGGAAGGAGGAGTCTTATCATGTGGTGAAGGAGTTGGGAGTGGAAGAGGTGGAGGAGCCATTGTTGGAGGGTAAGGAAAAGAAAGGAATTCCATGGAGGAGTTTGATGATTTTGTTCTTGATTTGGGTTACTTTCTTTGTGCTTCATCTTCTTGTCGGGAGTAAGGATGGCAAGGTATACATATACAGTTTTATTATTGTTATTTTCTTTTTCAAGATTAAATTTTTTATGGTAGCCATGGCATATTTTCTCATTATTCTTATTTATTAGAGAAATTATTATGTATAGTCTTATATGTATGTACATAATGTTAAATTAACTTCACAACATATCGTAATTATATCTTCGATATAACCTAAGTAAGATGGAGAAGATATTTCTTACTAAAATAAAAGATTTTTGTCGTTTGATTATAATATATATATATATATATATCGTATCAAAGTAGAAACCATGGTATCAACAAATGTCAGCTCATCCTGAGATTTCCATTTGGATGGAAATTGTTTTCTCTCCCTTTTGATGTGGAAGTTTGATTAAGTTTTAATCTGCAAAGAAATTAAGTCAAATTCTGAGTTTGGTTAAGAAAAGAGGCAATTATACATATATTAAACGAAACAAAAAGCTTATTACATTTGAGCCCAATTTATTTCCACTATATCTTCTCTTTGATTCACTCAGGCCCCCCTTTTGCCATCACTTTCATTTTCTTTTTTCCCTTTTTTTTTCTTAAATTTTGTTTAGCTTACATTTTCACTTGAATTAAAACAAATTTGATTGTAATGGTTGATTTTAAAAATACTTATAATATATTTTTTTTATTGTTATTAAAAATGAGATAAATTTTTTTAATCCAAAAAAAAAAACTATCTAAATATGTTTTCAAAAACAAAAATAAAAACAAAAGTAAAAACAAAATCAAAAATTAAAAAAAATAGAATTGGTGGGGTCCATTAGTTAATATATAAAATATTTTAAAAAAAAATTAAAAAGAAATTTGATTATTGTATTTAAAGTGGAGTGAATGAGGTTGTCATTCTTGTCTCTACCTTTTTATTTAGGGGGCTTTTTTTTTTTTTTCTTTACCAATAAAAATGAAGCATCTGCTTATAAAATTTTTAAAAAAATTCAATTTTTGATTAAAATAATTTATATTATTTTATTATTATTATTTAAAAATTATGCTATCCACCTAAGATAGAAAGTGATGGCCATATTTATCTCAGCACCCATTATCAAACTCATTAAAGCAGATAAATTCAATCCTACAATTATTTATTGCACTCAATGCCTAATGCATTAAGCAGAAGAACATTCGCTTTAAATTAAATATTCATCGTTCTTAATCACATTTAGTAAACAAATTTCTATCATTTACTGATGATAATCATACGTAGTTTTGACATCCATCTCTTAAGTATGCTGTCAGAATCACTAAGTATTCTGAAAAATAGGTTTCATTTCTTAAACTAAACTTGCAGAGCATGATACACATAAAACCATGTAGAGTTGCGTACTGGCTCATCACCATGTTCCAGCTTCCCACAGCTATAGTTTTTACTCTGTTCATTCTGTACATTATCCGGCAGAAAGATGAGCAGGTGAGCTCCAGATGTTCCAAATAATCATCTAAATTTCAGCTAAAAAAGAGATGATTTGCAGAATCTGAATAGTTGGGGTTGATCTGTACAGGGAGCAGAAAGAAATAAAAGAGTGAAAGATCTACCACTGTTGGTTTTCCCACTGGCAGCAATCTTATCAGGAATTATGGGCGGCCTCTTTGGCATTGGTGGTGGGCTGCTCATAAACCCTGTTCTTCTTCAAATTGGAGTGCCACCTCAGGTAAATTTCTATTTGGATGATTTGCGTGCATACCACTACAAATCTAACGCTTGCTAAATTCAATTTTTATGTGCAAGACAGTTTTTTTATGCATGAAAGGTGGGTGGTTGGCCTTTTTTTATGTGATCTGAAAGATTTGTGAGGTATAAATGTAAAAGGTAAAAATTTAGGTGTTAGATATGTAAATACATAGGAATTCATCATGCATGAAAAGATCAATATTCATGAAAGGGCAATAGTAGCAGCATAAAGTTCGATAAACTTTGAAAATAAAAAATCAAACAAGACTTTATATAAATGATAATATAATTCATATAGCTTTGGTGCCCATCTGTACTAACATATGTGATAGAGGTGACAATTTAAGCAGTTCAAAATTGTCTTTTTATAGAGGCCCTCATCTAAATGTCTCTCATCCATGTGGTGATAAAATGATAAAAAATATGTGAGGTTTGCGACTATGGGCAGTTGCATAAAGAAGGTAATATAGTCATCTATTGGTGCTATACATTTACTTATAAGATTAAGATACATCACACACTTCCTTTATATGTATTCATATAACTAATACCTAAATTTTGATTTTTAATTATATATTTGACATGTTATGAAAATTTTGAGTGTTGCAATCATAGCAGTCAAAGTTTAGGTTTTACATATGTAAATACTGAAAATTGTATGGTATGCATGTAAATGTTCATAATCACCCCCATCATTCCCAAAAGATAAGAAAATATACAACAGATAAGGACATAATAGCAATCAACATATACCCGCCACCAAAAAAAAATATATATATATATAATTATAAAATGAGTATAATACAAGAGAAAGAACGGCTACTGCCAAATGAGAGGACATACATAATTAAACTACCTATAGGCATCTCTATTCTAAGCCAGAAGAGATTCTTTTCCTAAATCATATTCTAATTAGATTTGTTAATAAAACATTACCTCACTCAAAGCTAATTTAGGCAATGGGAGAACAAGTGGCCAACTATATATATATATATATCTATGTATGTTTGTATATATATGTATATGTATGTGTGTATTCCTATAGTGACAAATTTTAAAAATATTTATGTTTCATTAACGATATGATGTTAAAATTTCTTCAAAATTTCTTATAAATCTAGATGAATGTCCATTTAAATATAAGTCTTTGACTAATTCATTTTTTGTGTTCTTCAAATATTTTTTGAATGTTTTGTATTAGTGGAAAGATTTCAAAAAGACTGGCTTATTGTGTTTGCAAGATATTGTGAGATTATTTATTGAATTTGAATGAGCGTATAATATCTTGTGGGTTATTGCACAAAGTTATGGCTTCAAGCTTCTTACTTGTCATCACCATAAATAAAGCTTTAAAAGAAAATATTTGGCATCTCACAACCAAAGATAAATAAAGAGAGATGACATCCTATATTTACTAATCAATAAAATGGAAGAGAGATGAGAAAGGAGCTAATGCAAAAAATAAAGAAAGCACTTTTTCTTAATGGGGTTGAGTCTTACAAGATCTTCTGCTTCTTCAAAAAGAAAAAAAAGTCGCTAGTTTTAGTTTAGCATGAAAAATAAGTCACTAGTTTTAGTAAAGCACTTTTTTCAGAATTTTTATATGAAAAAACTTTAAACATGAGGTTTGTCCTACTAAGAGTATTTCAATATATATTTTAGCTTACAAAATTCATCTCTTCTCTTTAATTGGAAAAAGATTAAGTTACAATACTTGTTTAGCACTCACTTGTTACAACAAGAATTATGAACCAATAACACTAATTAGGGGATAGTGATTAGGTAATAACTACCTAAATATAATAATTATGCTATAACAACTATATTTAGGCTACAACAATCACAAGTACTAATTGATAATGCTTATGTATGGTCATTGGTTCAATATTGCTTCTCTCTTAAGTGTAGACTTAGTTCTTAGCTCACTTCTATTTATAGTTTCTTGGTAGAGCATTTTAGTAAATTTAGCATAAATCCTAAAACACTATCAAATGGTCTTTGTTGATTGCTTTGATCAAATGTTGATCATTCTTAACGACCACATAATTAAATGATTTAGGACTTACTGGATTTCTCTTGTCGAGCCAATAAATTTTACTATAAGTATGCTGAATTCAAAGATTGTTTGGCCTTTTAATTAATGCTCCAAAGCTTTCAATTATACTTCAAGTTTTTTATATAGCTTTTTTTGAATTTGGATTGATTTGTATTATTGAGATGTTTAAATTGACTATAAATTTTATAATAAATTTACTGAAATAAAAGCTTAGATAATCTTTAATTTGACTCTTGAAGTTACTTTTCAAAATGTATATAGATTTATGTCGGATCCTATGAAATTTTTGGTGATATATCAAGCTCCACTTAAAGGAAGGTTTTTCACCTATTGGGAAGAAGCTCTTGTAGAATAAAAAATACGAGAATGATAACAAAGATACATTCTTTTCCATCCTTCATCTTCACAACACGTTATTATATTTCCTCTTAGTCATTGACATGAAAGAGAGTTTATTTATTTTATCTTCAATTTTGTAAGAACAAAAATCTTTGGGGTACCTCTCTGTTGTGAGATATGTACTTCCTGACATAGAAATGAAACGAAAAAGAACACATGCAAACACAGATCGTTTACGTGGTTCGATCCAACTGGATCTACGTCCACGGAAGGGAATCAATCAAATATTTCACTAAGGCAAAAGAAATGGAGAATACATAGCTTATACATAGAGATGAGCCCTCATCTTCCTTCTACGACCTCCCTCTCAAGCGACACCTTGATACAAGGCCTCAAGATGCTCTCCTCCTCTCTAGCTCTCTAGCTATTCTCTCCTCCTTTGTGGTAGCTTAAGATCTCTTCTCTTTGCTCTCCTAAGCCTCACACCCTTAAGATTTCTTCCCTTTTCTCTCCTAAGCCTCACACCCTCTCTATTTATAGAGATAGAGATGTGGTAGGTGAGCGGTAGGTGAGATGTGGTAGGTGGCGGTGCCACATTACAAAATTGCCATTTTTCCTTAGTTCATTAATTGGGGGTCAAAATAACA